ACCTGCTGGCTTAGGCCCGCTCCCCGGGTGGCAGATGGCAGGCCCGATCCCTCTGTGCCTGCCCTGCCTCCCTGGGTCGCGCACACAGCAGGGCCGATCCAGGGGTTGGGGCGCCGCCCCGGGTCGGGTCGCACACGGGATGCCTGGATGGAGGCCGGGCGGGCTGGCCGATCACTGCTGCCCTGCCCGGCCGCCCCAGGTAGGATCGCACATGGACGCCCGCCACCCTGGGTCGCAGATAGCAGGCCCGGATGGCGGCAGGGCAGGCGGGGTGGCGCTGTCCTGCCCTGCCTGCAGTATGCAAATTAGCCGCCATCTTTGTTGGTGGTTAATTTGCATATCACGCTGATTAGCCAATGGGAGGCATAGCGAAGGTACGGTCAATTACCATGTTTGTCTATTATTAGATAGGATGGTGATTCCAACTCTCTTTTTCCTTAACAAATTGGTGGAAGTTTTATAATAAGTTTATTCGATGTTTTGAGTATTTACTGAAAATTAAATGTGTGCTCATAATAAAAAACTTGACATGTAGTCCTAACAGTTTGGCTCAGTGGATAGAGTGTCTGCTTGCGGACTGAAGAAGGGTCCCAGGTTTGATTCCAGTCAAGGCCATGTACCTTGGTTGCGGGTTTGATCCCAATAGGTGGCATGCAGGAGGCAGCTGATTGATGTTTCTCTCTCATCGATGTTTCTAACTCTCTATCCCTTTCCCTTCCTCTCTGTAAAAATCAATAAAACACATATTTTTTTAAAAATTGACATGTAAAATATGATATTTAGCTGTAGCTTTCTTAAAAGATCACAAAGGAAATATTTCCCCCCAAAAATCCAAAACTTCTCTTTTTCTTTCATAAAGAGAAAATTAACATTTTATCCTATGAAAACCACAATTCTTATGATATGTCTACCCTACCACTATTAAGTAAAATCTTCTAGCACATTTTAAAACAAATTCTACTAATATTTCCCTGTTTGCCTGTTTGTTTCTTTGTCTTAATCTGGAAGGTTATTTTTCTTTTTAAGTCAGAACACAGAACATTGATTATAGTTATAGCTCAAAGAAAGAAATTGTACTGGCCCTTTATCCTATACTATAGTTTTCAGTAATTTGCTTTTCAATATATAGGTTTAAGTTCAACCAATTACATAAAAGCCTTAAATTCTATGGTCCTCAATGGTAAATTTTTTAAAAAGTGAATCCTATGTCTTTTCACTTTATCTGAAAGTTCTTTTGTTTGTTTGCTTGCTTATTTGTTTTTGTTTGAGTGTAGAACTTAGATCTTTATGTTTTTATCCTAAATCAGCCTGATCCAGCCTGGTTAAAACTTCCAGTACAGCCACAGTAGGAACAGACTTCTTGTCTTGTTCATGATCTTAGGGGGAAAGCAGTCAGTCTTTTTTAAAAATAAATTTTGATTGATTTCAGAGAGGAAGGGAAAAGGAGAGATAGAAACATTAATGATGAGAGAGAATCATTGATTGGCTGCCTCCTGCACACTCTACTAGGGATCGAGCCCACAACCTGAGCACGTGCCCTTGATTGGAATCAAACCCGGGACCCTTCAGTCCGCAGGCCAATGCTCCATCCACAGGCCGATACTCTATCCACTGACCAGCTAGGACAGCAGTCAGTCTTTTACAATTAAGTATGATGTTAGGTTTTTCATAGATGTCCTTTATAGCATTGAGGAAGTTCCCTTTTATTCTTAAATGGCTGAGCGTTTTTATCTGGGATGGAGGTTGGAGATTATAAACATGTTTTCTGTAACCATGGAGATGATCATATGGTTTCTCTTTTGTAGCATGTTAATGTAGTCAAATGCTAAACTAACTTTGCATTCCTGGGATAAACTCGACTTGGTCATAGTGTATTTTCCTTTTTGTAGATAGCTAGATTTGATTTGAGATACAGTGGAAGCGAGCACCCCTACACTTAGAGGCTGGATCATGCCTTACTCTTTCTTGGTGCCTCAGTGACCTCTAGCACTGGTCCCACATGAAAGACAAGCTGCTGAGTGCCCACTGCCTCCTCTTGACCCATGTCAGGGGCACTCAGGAAGCAGAGCCAGGAGCCTAGTGATGCTTTTGTAAGGCATACCCATTAAGAGCACAGGCTTTGCACCCCTTGCTAGTTGTATGGCCCTGAAAAGATACTTTTGTTTTCTGTGCCTCGGTTTCCCCCAAAATTGAAATGGGGTAATAGTACTATTTGTTGTGAAGATTAGATTAGGTAATAAATTATTTAGCATTGTTCCCCAAAGGGAATAAAATAACTAGGGAGGTTTAGTAATTATTATCATTACTTTTTTTTGTACAAAGGCTTTGTGACCCATAAGACCCTGTTAAAATAAGGGATGGGCCATAACTGTTACAATAGGACTCCACCCACAGCCTCATTTATTTCTTCCTCCCACTCCCCTCTGTTTGAGTGTTGGTAGCGAGACGCTTCCACAAAAGCAATAGCATAGAGAAAGATGGTGCAGATTACAAGGGCACTCAGTGCCTCACTCCTTCCCCAAAGCCCATCTCAGAAAACACCAAGAATGGCTCTGGCTTACAAACCCATCCCTCCTGGGGCACCACCAGATGGTAATGCACCTGTAGAAGTCTTGTCTTGGCCTTTGGTGAGATATCTCTCCTTTCCTTCCCTAATTTCAAGAAAGTCTTTCCTACCCCAGGTACAATTTAAGTACCACGTAAAGCCCCTAGCTTACCAGGGCTGCTGCTAACACATGAAGTACCCCAGCATAAATTAGAAAAAGGGACCTCTTCCTCAAGTCATGTTCCTTCCACTTTATTAGATCAAGATAGTTTACTGCCCTTGCACTGTGCAAAAACCCACATAACCATATGTGGCAGCCCTGTGGCTTATACTTAGAATATTCATCTCTGTTCCTCTTTAGGTCCTGAAGCACCTACGTCACCTAAACTTTACCAACAATATGGGGGAACAGGTGACTTTTGATGAGTGTGGTGACTTGGTGGGGAACTATTCCATCATCAACTGGCACCTCTCTCCAGAGGATGGCTCCATTGTGTTTAAGGAAGTTGGATATTACAACGTCTATGCCAAGAAAGGGGAAAGGCTCTTCATCAATGAGAAGAAAATCCTGTGGAGTGGGTTCTCCAGAGAGGTATGTGCTGCCCATCTGAACACCAGATGCCTCCACCATGGCAGGAAATGTGCTGGGCTTTGGAGGGCCTTGGACTGTTCACCGCTGGACTTCCAGAATGAGTCCACTTCCCTCAGCTCACTCACTCTGCATCGCCAGGGTCCCCATGAAATCCATGAGTGTTTAGTGTACAGCAGAGAATCCTTGGAACCTGAGCCCCATGCTTATTATTTTAAAACAATTTTATTCTTTACAAATCTGACTCCCTGGTTAGTAATAGTTTCCTTAACTAAAACTTTCTCCAACTGGAGCAAAATATTTAAGCAAACATAAACATCACTCAAGGCAGGGCCTGGGTAATTAATTCACAAAGAGGTAGTTCCCTATGATTCAAACATCACAGGGCTGCTGACTTATTAACCAAAATGACCATTTATTTTTCTCCTTGGGAGATCTGTAACACATAGGAGGATGTTTGTGACCATGATCAGGGTTCTCCTGCCTTCAGTATCACTGCATCTAGACGCCTGGTTAATAACCAGAAGCCCATCACCCAGTGAATATGCTCTCCAGGAAAAGACACATGATATGCTAAAATGATGACCATATTGTGGTGATTGAGTCCCAGAATGTAATAGGCTACTGAGGACCCAGGTCCTCTGTAATACAAATCCTGGACAAGAGTTAAATCCTCTTTAACTCTCCCAAGATGCCTGGATGAAACCCACTACATTACTCTTTGTGTTTGCCTTCCTAATATCACTTTTGAGTATCTTGAACTACTTTATAAAACGTGACCAAAGATTCAACTTCATCTTTTACCAAATGCTCCTTAGGTTGGTTGGTGGGTTTCTTATCAGATGCTATAATTTTATTGGTTCCCAATATGTAGGATAGTTACCCATGCAAAGGTCTACTATAGATAGTGAATCTTATCCACAGTGTGCGAGTTATTGCTAGCCTCTACCTCAGAGAATGGATTCTCAATTTTAAACATGTCACAACACTTTCCAGAGATTTGGGACTTCCAGAGGTTATACAACTCTGTTCACTAATTACACCCTTGTCTAAATTATCACAAGTTTCAACTGACTATAATCTAAATTGATCAGCTATACTATCACTGATTCCCTGCTGTTAAATCACCCAGGTTATCTTATACCTCCATTAATGTACATAATTGATTGTCTCTTATAGGTGTATGTCTCATCTCCCTTCCTGCATGGAAACTATTTCCTGTATAGTTCTCTATAACCTATAACAGCCTGTGCACACTGTGGGTTTAAACATTGGAAAATGAATAATAAGGATTCTTTATGAACTCAGTCATTTATGTTCCTGAGGTAGTTGACAGAGTTATAAATTAAATCTAATTTTTCCACAGAAATGTTACTTCAAACTTAGTACACATAGGCACTCAACAAATATTTGGGTCTAATCCACTTTCTTCTGCATTTTTTTATAGAAATGGCCACAAAGATGTCATCTATATTTAACTATAAATAATGTATTAATAATTTCCCTACATAGCTCACAAAGTTAACAAAATCAAGGATGCAAAAATTAATAATGCAAACTGTTATTAATATAGCATCTATGTACATAAAAGCCCAGTGACCATGATGGCAGATTGACCAGAACGACTGGTCACTATGATGTGCACTGACCACCAGGGGGCAGACACTCAATAGAGGAGCTACCCCCTGGTGGTCAGTGCGTTCCCACAGAGGGAGCACTTCTTAGCCAGAAGCCGGGCTCATGGCTGGCTAGCATAGCGGCGGTGGCAGGAGCCTCTCCCGCCTCCACAGCAGCATTAAGGAGCAGTGAGCCAAATGGTAAGGAGCAAGCAGGCAGGCAGTTAGGAGCGAGAGGCAGGAGGTAAGGAGTGAGGGGTCCCAGATTCCAGAGGGTGTAGGCTGGGCTGAGAGCCCCCCTTCCCCTGTGCACAAATTTTGTGCATCGGGCCTCTAGTTATAATATATTAATCAATGTCTCAATTCACTTTCTAATGAAGCACTTTAAAGCCAAAGGGTCTTTTTTTGAGCTAGAGGGGCTTTAAATATCTTCGTATCCAACACCCCAATGTGAAGGGTCTTTTTTGGAACTAGAGGGGCTTTAAATATCTTTGTATCTAATACCCCAATTTGAAGTTGATGACACAGGTTTAGGAGGGCAAAGGTGACTTCAAAGACAGGACAGATGGTCAGTATAAGAGTTGAGACTAGGATCCAAGTGCTCTGACTCGGACCCTAGTGCTCCATCCTCTACACTATACTCTCCCATAATTATTTCCTTATTTTATTACAACAAATAAGAAGAAAAAGAGACATCTTCTTTGTGGTCTTGGAATTCAGATGGGCTTCGTTGGCCAGAACTGGATAGGCATCTTTGATGAAGCTATTCATAAGAATTAAAGATACTTGCTGGCTTTTTGCAAAATGGATTTTTCTTGGTGGCTTCCCAGTCCACTCCTTTGGTGGTGGGATTTCTCTTTAGCTAAGGGATGCGGAAGGAGGCAGTAAGAGGGCTCAAAGGTTGGCATTATTCTAATTCTTCACTACTATAAAGCAGGATTTTGGTACAATGAAAAGTACAGACTTTGGAATACTTACCTGGGTGTGAACCCAAGCTCTCCAATAAGTCACTATATGACCTTGAGCTTGTTTTTTAACCATTATGAAGAAAAACTTGGCATGACAGAGACTGCTAGAGGCCCCCAATATTTGTTCTCCCCTTTTTCTTTAATAATAGAACTCAATTTTAACTGGGCACATGACCATCCAGAATAAAAAAATTTCCAAGTCTCAAGTAAGTATGGCCATATGACTAAATCCTGCAGAATAGAATTCAAGTGGCAGTGTTATGTGATGGAATCTGGGAACCTTCTTTTAAGAAAGTGCTTGCAAGAATCCTTTGCTCTCTTCTTCATCTTTTCCTTGATCCTGCTTCCTAGAAAACAGATGCCCAGCAGGTAGCAGCTAGATTTGGTGTACACTGGGATTTTTGCTGAGTGGCCTCAGACCTTGTACTGACATGGAGATTGAACCTGTATAAATCTGGTGAACACCATTCACCCTACCTGGTGACTCACTGAAAACTTGCCTCATACCACCAGAGGCTCTTTCAGTAACTGAGCCTAATAGGCAGCCAGCAGGTGGAGGCAGGCAGAAATGGACCTAGGGGTCCCTTAGGCCTTTTTGCTGATGTGTCCCCAGACTTGGTGCTGGTGGAATCCTGCCTTAGTGCACACCTTGGTCCTTCCCACATACATTCAGGCCCAGCAGAGGCAGCCACAAAGTGACAGGTAGCTTAGGACCAGTCACAGGCAGTGTCTGATATTGACCTGCACCAGAGTTCCTCCTAAGAGGCCCTAGAACCAACACCCCCAGTGGCCAGGATCCAATTAGTTTCGCAAGTGGCATATCCAAAGGGAGGTCTCAGCAGGCACCAGAATCTGCTGAAGCAAATTTTGCTTAGTGTGGTCAGTACCTACACAGCAACTCATACACTGTGCGCAAGGTTGAACCTCACAGCCAGCCAGCCTGAGAGCTGAACTCACCCACAAATGGGCCAATAGCAATAAAGAGTCAATTACAACAGGGGAACTCACATAACCCACATAAGGAACATTCCTAGAGTACCCAACTCAGGTTATCAAGGAGACTGCACCACTGGATCCCACAGGACACCTATTATATAAGGACACCTACCAAACTGGAAGACATAGTATATCTACTTAATTCATAGAAACAAGTACAAAAAGGCAGCCAAAGTTGGAAGACAAAGAAACATGCCCCAAATGAAAGAATAAGAGAAATCTCCAGAAAAGGGGCTAAATGAAATGGAGGCAAGCAATTTACCAGATATACAATTCAAAAAACATGGTTATAAGGATGCTCAAGAAACTGAGTAAGAACTACAAGGAAATTATTGAGAACTCCAACAACATGAAAATAGCCATAGAAACCATAAAAAAGAATCAGTCAGAAATAAAGAATACAGTATCTGAAGTGAAGAAATCACTAAAGAAATAAATAGTAAGTTGGATGAAGCAGAGGATCAAATCAACAATTTGGAAGACAAGGTAGCAGAAAACACCCAATCAGAGCAGCAAAAAGAAAAAAGAATCCAAACATATAAGGATAGTTTAAGGGACCTTTGAGACAACAAAAAATATAACAATATCTGCATCATAGGGGTACCAGAAGGAAAAGAAAGAAAACAACAAATCAAGAACCTACTTGAAGAAATAATGGCTGAAAACTTCCCTAACCTGGTAAAGATAAAAGCCACACAAGTCCAGAAAGGGCAGAGAGACCCAAACAAAATGAACCCAAAGAGGCCCATACCAAGACACATCATAATTAAAATGGCAAAGTTTAAAGACAAAGAGAGAATCTTAAAAGCAGCAAGAAAAAGACAGTTAATTGCCTTCAAAGGAGCTCCCATAGGACTTTCAGCTGATTTCTCAACAGAAACATTTCAGGCCTGAAGGAATTGGTATTAAATATTCAAAGTGAAGAAGCAAAGACCTACAGCTAAGACTACTATACCTAGCAAGGCTATCATTTTATTTTTTTAAACTATTTTTTTTATTGCTTAAAATATTACAGAGTAGTACATTTGTCTCCTTTTTTCCCCCTTGACCTTCTCCCAGCCTCCTCTACCCCCCAGTGTCTTGTGTCAATTGGTTATGCTTATATGCATGCATACAAGTCCTTTGGTTGATCTCTTACCCCCCCCCCAACCCTCCCCAGCCTTCCTGCTGTAGTTTGACAGTCTGTTGAATGCTGCTCTGTATCTATTTTTGTTCATCAGTTTAGAATGGTCTTTATTATCCATAAATGAGTGAGATCATGTGGTATTTTTCTTTCA